TTTTATATGTATATAATTTTCTATTTATTTTTATTTAAATATACCTATTTACATATTATTAAATTTATTATTAAATTCGTAAAAAATTGCAATATAATATAATAGTTATTTATAATTAATTTAAATTTACTTAAATATCTAAAAAATATTTAATCTGTAAAATATTTAATCTGTATAATATCTTATGACAAATTTCAGTACATTATAATATAATGTAATATTGATTATAGATATATTTAATAGATATTAATAATAGGATATTTAATATTTTAAATCAAATTTTAAATTAAAAAATCAAAATATTAGTTATTCTAAAAATTAAAAAATTCTTTAAATAAAAAGTTATAAAAAAAATTATTTTCTGATAATTATAAAACTCATCATGAACTTTTATATGATTTTAATTCTTAAACAATTTAATATATAGTAAAAAATTTTGTTATAGTAAAAAATAATGCATTAGTAGATTATTATTTTCAAAATTATTAAAATAATAATTGTTTAATCGATAACTATTATGAAATAAAATGTAAATTAATATATTAATTAATAAAATTAATTTTTTAATTTCTTAAAAGAAAAATAATAAAATTAATTTTTTAATTTCTTAAAAGAAAAATTTAAAGATTAAAAAAGATTTATTTAAAAATGAATTTGAAGCTTATTAATAATATCTTATTAATAATATAAATAAAAAATCATGATAAATTACGAAAAATCTTTGTTAAAATATTCATTAAAATATTAATTATTTTTATGAAACCAAAATGTTCCTTTGTAGATAAGAATTTGTGGCCCTGAAAAGGGCCATTTTGTTATTTGACTTAAAATTTAAGCTTTTTTCTCTGTTTTTTTTGGTAAAAGTACAGCTTGAATATTAGGAAGAACTCCTCCTTGAGCAATAGTAACACCAGATAAAAGCTTGTTCAATTCTTCATCATTGCGGATTGCAAGTTGTAAATGTCTTGGGATAATTCTCGTTTTCTTGTTATCTCGCGCAGCATTTCCCGCCAATTCCAGAACTTCAGCGGCTAAGTATTCCATAACGGCAGCCAAATAAACAGGAGCACCAGCGCCAACTCGTTCTGCGTAATTTCCTTTTCTTAAAAGTCGATGAATACGTCCAACTGGAAATTGTAATCCAGCTCTATTCGAACGAGACTTTGCTTTTGCTTTTGCTTTTCCCCCTTTTCCACGACCAGACATTTTGTATTAATGTTTCAATACAAATAAACGTTGCACAACACAATACAACTGCGTGATTCAACGAACAGATAGAAACTGTATTCTACCCTTTTTTCCAGGTATATAAAGCTTCCGTCGTAGTTACGTTCATCCAATGATTAACGAAGAGTAATCTGATTGGTTTGAAGAAAGAAATGTTACATACTGCAACTTACTTTTTCTTTCAATAAAAATAATAAATTGTACATATTTTAAAAATTATTACTTTAATTTTAAATAATTTACAATGTTAATAATTTTTATATAAAATAAAGAATTTAAATAAAATATTCAGAAATATATATATATATAAAATAAAAGCAAAAAAATAATATTATTTATAAATTATACAATGTAAATTTGAAACTTTTTAAAATTAAAAAAAATAAAAATTTTTACAATTAATATTCAAATCGTTTAATATTAACTTTTAACATAATGTAAAATAATTTATTTAAGGATTTAAAAATAATACTATAAAAAAATAGCAATATCTTCGTGTTTGTATATCATTTATCAATAGATTTCCGTCAACGTATATATATATGTGAAATGAAAATAAAAGTATCAAAATTAAAATTAAGAATATACAAACAAATGATACATACAAACTCGAGAATGTCATATTATTTAGAGGCATGTTTCGTGTCCTCTAGCGAATCATAACGTATAATCATAATGTAAATATATGTACATATAACACTATTTTTTTTATAATTAATTAATATTAAATATATTAATATTAAATAATATACATATCATATATGTATATTAATATTTTAATATTATTTTCTATATAAAATTCTTTACTACTATTTTATTTGTTATATTGTAATTACTATATTTATTATATTATGTATATATTATATTGTAATATTTCAACCTTCACTTATATGTGTTATAATATACTATGTATTTGAATTATATATGTATATATTATGTGTATATTACATATGCATATATATTATATATTATTTATAAAAACTATTTATAATGGTCAAAATTTTATTCGAAATTTTTATTTGAGAATGAAATTATTTAAAAATTTTATAAACATAGATTTCATAATTTTTTCTTTTTATAGTATAAAAAGTATTATTTAAGAATTTACTTAATTTCAGGTATTATTTAATACTTTTAAATACAAAACAACAAATAGAATGACATAATTTAATTAACAACAACAATATAATTGACATAATTTAATTAACAACAACAATATAATTGACATAATTTAATTAACATATAAATATTTAAAAAGAGAAATTATATGTATTATTCAGATAAAAAATTTTTTTATTATATTATTTATTTTTTATGTAATATAATGTATTTTTATAAAGAAAAAATAAACTGCATATATTTATATATAATACATTTATTATATATAATATTTATATATAATACATAAAAAAAGATATAACCATATGTGGAATACATTGTACGAAATCAATTTCAGTGGCATTACAGTGGCACCGATGCACCAATCACATGACAAGAAGTTTCAGTCCATAACCATGGATCATTGCAATTGGTTCGCTATTGCTATCTCATTCTATTATATAAATAAGACATAGTCCGATAAAACCACTCCACAACTGCCATTTGTAAAGGTAAGTTGTGTAAAAAATAATAAGAATTCAAGAATTCTATATCGACATTATGCCGCCAAAAGTTAGTGGTAAAGCTGTGAAAAAAGCTGGTAAAGCTCAGAAAAATATTAGTAAAGCTGATAAAAAGAAAAAAAGGCGGAGGAAGGAAAGTTATGCTATTTATATTTATAAAGTGCTTAAACAAGTGCATCCTGATACTGGTATATCGAGTAAAGCAATGAGTATCATGAACAGTTTTGTGAATGATGTATTTGAACGTATTGCTGCAGAAGCATCAAGATTAGCGCATTATAATAAACGTTCTACTATTACTTCTCGTGAAATTCAAACTGCTGTGAGACTTTTATTACCTGGTGAATTAGCCAAGCATGCAGTTAGTGAAGGTACTAAAGCAGTTACCAAATATACCAGTTCTAAATAAGAAAAGATAATATCTTATAAAAACGGTCCTTTTCAGGACCAACAAAAAAATTTTAAATGTTGGAACTTCTTTCAATTTTAATTATAAAAAAGTAATTATGACTGCCATGTAATATATATAACAAATTCTGTTTTAAATGTTTTCATGTCTACATATATACCTTACAATTTTTAATATTGAACATTTTAAAACATAATTATAATAAAAAAAAAATACTTATTATTAATGAAATAATTTTTTATTGCATCAAGTTTCTAAAAGTTTTAAAAACGTACAATGTTACAATTATAATAAATATAATATTATTAAAGGAAAGTTTTAAATTTAAAAACATTAAATGTAAAATATATAAAATGTTTTTATTTTTACATAATTAATGTGATAAAAAAAATAATTCATATTATAAATATTACTAAATTTGATTTTATGGAGAGACATTAATATTTATAAAAAAAGCAGTTGAGCATTTATAATTTTTAAATATTTACATTTTTTTTTGACAAGTTTTTATTTATAATCTGTTTATGAATAATCTGTTTCATCATATTTTAATTTGCAAATATAATATTTATACAATTTTATAAAATGTTATTTCAATAATAAAAATTTCCTTTTACATACGATTTAGAACATTTTGAATTGATCTAAGTCTTGTTATCAATTCTTGTCCATGAGGTTTAGTTTGTAAAGTAAGTAAACATTTTGAAATTACATCTTGACATTTTGTTATTATTTTTCGTCTGTAATTTAATATCAATTGTAATTAATATTAGTCAAATAGAATTTATATATATAATATATATATATATAAATTTA